AAAAATAGTTGCAAATAGAAACATGAGTTTCAGTCTGATCACTAGAGACATTTGATCAAATTTCACCTCCTCCCACCCCTGGTTGGCAGTTTCAGATAAGGAAAGATTTCCATGTGGAATATACAAGAAGATCAAGACATAAGTGCATCAGGGAGCACTTAAATAAGTACAACTAGCTACTCACTATTGTGAACATTGAATCTGGCTGAAAATTTCTATAAAATTTTAAAAAGCCAAAAGAAATCACTTGAGATGCTAATACTGCTTGATCACAAAGTCTGTCATCATATGCCTGCTCCCTCTTCGTTCTTGGACATTTCCTCTTAAATATGTTGAATATAATCCATTGCTCTTTGGTTTCAGCACCGAGAGAGCGAGCGAGCAAGAGAAAGAGCGAGCAGCTTTAAGAGTACATTTGTCTTCTGTTTAAAATGGGCATCTTTCCGATCACACACTGATCTCAAGCTGCCAAAGCAGGATTGGTCTGGAATACCTTGAAATTCAGGTGTGATTGGATCTAGGGTTTTGGTAGGAAGGAAGTACCAATTTGCCATAAAGAGATGAAAGCTGAAGTTCAGTGATCTTCAACTTTCCTCTTACTTTCCACTTGGCATTGCTGAAGGAAAGCCTAGCTGATTCAACTGTAAATCCTATTAAAAGGGATTTCCAGTGCCTTGGCTCAGCTGACAATTAATTTGTTTTCCCTTTTGCCTATCAGGGATTTTCCATGCAGTGAGCTCTCATTCGCTATGTAAGTCCTCTGGGTATTTGTTAGTGTCATAGTCAGAGCCAGATGATGTTTACTCTGCTAACTTCCAGGTTGGAGTCCAACCACATTGGACGGGGTCAAGAATATATTTATAGAAGTAGATATACATTGGGACTTGTTCTCTTTCCCCTGCTCTAATCTACCTAAGCTCCCCCAAAATAGAAAAAAGCATGCAGACATGCAACTAATATACTCATTGGGCCAGATCCTTGGCTAATGTAAAACTTCAACGTACTATGGAGATAAATAGGGACATATCAATTTGCAACAGCTGAGGAACTGGATGGGTACTGGTAACAGGGAAAGAGAGAGGGTTGTTGGAATTAGAAATAACAAAACCCTACACTACAGCAACACAGGTTTACAGTGAAAAATCCTCAGCTACCTCTTCTAACAACTGCTAGGTTTGCAATCAAGTACTTTTCCACCCACCTTCGCAATCATTAGAAAGTGTAAAAATCAAAGGAAAGATCCAGCCCAATAAAAGTAACAAATGAGAGCTAAAGCAATGTTATAAATTTACCTGCTGAAACTGAGAAGACACTGTCAACAAACGAAGTCTGAGAGAGAACAAAGCAGAAGAAAAGCTGAAGATAAAATCCCGAAGTAATTAGGCTGAGGACGACCATGCTGGCTGCACTCTGTAAAATTCCAAGTTAGAAACACGGGTCTGCTTTGGGGAGCTCTTCTTCTCCACTGTCTTCTCTGTCTATGCCTGTCTTGTTTGCTCTCTCTTCCCCTTTTCTCTCTCTCCCTCTCTCTCTCTCTCTGTGTGTGTGTGTG